CTGCCGGCCCTGCCCCCGCTGCCCTGCCTCTGCTGTGATGCCGCCATCTTGTGACGACATTATGGAGTGAGGGTTAATTTGCATATTACCTCTTTATTATATAGGATATATATTTCAGAGAGGTGGGAAGAGGGATAAAGAGATAGGAACATCAATGATGAGAGAGAATCATCGATTAGCTGCCTTCTGCACACACCACACTGGGGATCGAGCCTGCAACCTGGGTATGTGCCCCACACTAGGGATTGAGCCATGACCTCTTGGTTCATAGGTCAATGCTCAACCACTGAGCCATGCAGGCCAGGCCCAAGAATCTTTCTTTTGTTATTTCCTTTCTATTAAGAGAACTTCCTTTAGCTATTTTTTAAAGAAAAGTCTGCTGGTGACAAATTCTCTTTGTTTTCCTTCATCAGGGAATGCCTTGACTTCCCCTTTGTTCCTGAAGGGCACTTTTGCTGAATAAGTTATGGTCGATAGTCCTTTCTTTCAGCACTTGAACAATGTGGTGCCACTCACTTCGGGCCTCAGAGTCTCTGATGAATCTGATGTCATTCAAATTGTTTTTCCCCTTTAAGGAAGGTGTTGTTTTTCTCTTTCACTGTTTTGAAGATTTTTTTCTTAGTCTTCAGAAGTTTAGTTTGAAAGACCAATCGGGAGCCAAAAACCAGGATTACAGGCTTTATTAGGGGAAAAACCTGCCGGGCTGTCTCACAAGGGGAGAACAGCAACTGTGCAGAGGTGAGCACACCTTTTGAGGGGAGGAATGGGAAGGAATGGGGCTTAGGGTACTCAGCAGGCGCTGATTGGTGGCTTAGTGTATGGTCCATATAAGGTACGTGGTTAGGCACTACGGTACTTAGGGACAAGGGCTTAGGGTATTTGGCAGGTGCTGATTGGTGGTTCAATGTATAGTCCATATAAGGTGCATGGTTAGGCACTCAGGTGTTTCCGGGCTGCAGGTACATCATACTCCGCCCAGCAGTTGGGGGAAGGGAGGATCTGTCATTGTTATGATGTTGCTTGGTGTGAATTTCTTTGGGTTTATCTTGTTTGAGGCTCACATAGCCTCTTGAATATGTAAGTTTACATCTTTTCACAAATTTGGAAAATTTTCATTCAGTATATCTTCAAATAGTTTTTCTGCCCACCCCTCTTCTTCTGGAATTACAATGACATGGATGTTAGATCTTTAGTATAAGTGTCTGAGATGCTGGTCATTCCCCCCCCCCCCCCCCCAGTGCATTTTTCTCTGTTGTTTTGATGGATAATTTCTATTGTTTTACCTTTAAGTTCATGAATTCTTTCCTTGATCCCCTCCATTCTGCTATTGAGCCCATTCATCGAATTTTTAATTTTGGTTATTCATTTTTCAGTTCTAAAATTTCCATTTTGTTCTTTTCTCATATTTTCTATTTATTTGCTCAAAATTTGTATTTTCCATGGGTTTTAATTGTGTTCATCCTTGCTCATTAAGGCATTTTTATGACGGCTGCTTTAAAATCCTGGTCATATATTTCCAACATCTGTGCCACTTCAATGTTGGCATCTGTTGGTTATTTTTATTTCACTCAGATCGAGATCTTCCTGGTTCTTGGTGTGATGAGTGACTTTTGATCGAATTTTGGACATTTCTGATTTTATGTTAGAGGCTCTGGGTGGTATTAAATCTTCCGTTTCAGGTCTGTGCCAGCATTGCTTCAGCAGGGGTGGGGCCGACTTGTGCCCACAGGTGAGAGAGAGGCCTGGTCTCCCACTTGGCTTTCATTGGCACGCGCTGCTGCCTCGTTCCTATGGGCTGGGGTCAGGGTGACCCCATTAGGTCAGTCTGGATGGGAGGGGCAAGAGTGCCCCCTCACTGCTCCCAGGAAGCCTCCAGTGGCACTTGGGGAAGAGGCCTCCTTAGCATGGGGTTGGGGTGGGGGTGATGGTGCAAGTCCCCCCCTCTGCCTTCCCTGTTATCTCCCAGGAGAAGGGAGGGAGGAAGAGGGAGCCTTGGCACTGCGAGTGGTGGTCGAAGTTCAGGTTCTGCTGATGTTGGGGTGGGGGGGTGCGGGAGGGGGGCTGTGATGAAAGTCCCTGCTCCCTCCTTGGCTCTTCTGATGCCGGCCTGGCTGGGGGGTGGCCACTGTTACCGCAGCCTCCCAGTTCTAGCCACACTGCTCTGTGGGTAAGGGCACTGACAGATGGTGAGGTTTGGCCGTAGTGACAGAGAGACCCAGTGACAATCCTGGTTTTCCTGATGAGCAGGTGGCTGTGCTCAGGTTCCTTCTGTCTCGTCTTGTGGGCCTTTGCTCTGGTCTTCAAAGCTGGAGCGGGGCCATGAGCGTGCCTGTGTCCTGAGAGCCCGCAGACAGAACTAAGTCCTGTGGCCAAGCCGGGCAAGAAAGGCCAGGCGTCACTCGCCACCTGCCCCTGAAGACATGGC